AGGATGAGGAATCGGCTCCTGCCAGCTCTACAGATTAATTTCCTCCTGCTTTCCTATGACGTTCTCCCTCCTGATAGTTCGTGCACTGAAGGTACCAGCCCAGCGCTGCCCGGCTCCTGCATCTCCAGCCGTCACTGCAAAGGGCACCAGGCGGGATCCGATACCAGACCCTGGCCCAGTGCATTTGGATACCGACCCCTAAAATCCTGCTCTAACCACTAGACCCCACTCCCCTCCCAGAGCTGGGAGAGAACCCAGGAGTCCTGGCTCCCAGCCTCTCCTGCTCTAATCGCTAGACACCCCCCCTCCTCCCAGAGCTGGGGATAGAACCCAGGAGTCCTGGCTCCCAGCCCTCCCTGCTTTAACCACTAGACCCCACTCCCCTCCCAGAGCTGGGAACGGAAACAGGTCTCTCGACTCCCACGAACACCCCCGCACCCACCCATGCACATACAGACACAGTCACACAAATACACCTCACCCCCAAGCGCACGTTTGCTCAGGTGCGCCCAGTTCACTGCCGTGTCTGCCCGTCTCCCAGCCCCGTCTGTCAGTCCCATCCAACCGTCTGCCCTGGTGTTGCCGTGCGTCCCGGGGTTGGGGCAGGGCCTGGAGCATCGGGGCCCTGATCCTCATTCGGGCCCCACGGCAGCTCCGTCAGAGAAATAAAACCAACGGCTCGTTTATTAATGATTAATAATTATAACCACATCCGCAGCCCCCCAGACCCAGAATCACACCCAGCCACACCACCCCCTCTACCCACACACACACCACGCCCTGGCGGGAGCACAAACGCACAACTCTCTCAGTCACACACATCCAGTCAAGCACACTCACAGCCCCCCAGCCCAAGCAAACACACATCACACCTTGACACACACAAGCACACACCCAATCACACACCCCTCAACAAAACACACCCACACAATCACACACACCCCTCAACGAAACACACACACACAATCACACGTCAGCCAAACACACACACATAATCGGGTATATATCAACCAAACACACAGAATCACATACCTTGACCAAACACACACACACACGCCCCCCTGAAGAAGTGGGTTTTTTACCCACGAAAGCTTATGCCCAAATAAATTTGTTGGTGTTTAAGGTGCCATCAGACTCCTCCTTGTTTTTGTGGATACAGACTAACACGGCTACCCCCTGATACTTCACACACACACACACACACACACACACACACTTTGAGTTAACAGGCCCAAGCCCCTCGCATCCCTCTCTCTTTCGCTGCCTGGGTAGATTTATACTAAGCGAGGAGGCGGCTGGCGGCTGGATTAATTTATCGGGCATACGCATCCCATTGTGGGGCCGTGATTCACGGCCGGCGGCTCGGCAATGGGGCCGGGGGGGCGGGGGGAGGCTGATGATGGATGCCTGATGCCCAAGCAGAGGAATGAGGTGTCGGGGGACCCGGGCTGTGCAGAAGGGAAGGAGGAGCAGAGCACCGCAGAAACAACTACAATAATAAAGCCATTTATCATCGCCTGACGCTTGCCACTCAAGCGGGGGGCGGGGGGGTTCTCTGGGGAGAGGCAGTGGGGGGGATGGGATGCCCCGGGGGGGGGAAAGTGTTTTCCAAGCAGCTGGTTTTTAAGCAACATTGCGGCTGTGTTGGATGAAGGCGGAGAGCAGGCAGGGGAAGGCCTGAGCCCAGCAACAGGGGGACCATGAAAGGAAGGCCGGGGATAGCCCCCACTCCCCTCCCAGAGCCGGGGAGAGAACCCAGCAGTCCTGGCTCCCAGCCCCCCTGCTCTAACCACTAGACCCCACACCCCTCCCAGAGCCAGGGAGAGACCCCTGCCCCAAGGTTCCATACCCATCCCGCTCTAACCGCTAGACCCCTCCCTCCTCCCAGAGCCGGGGAGAGAACCCAGCAGTCCTGGCTCCCAGCCCCCCCTGCTCTAACCACTAGACCCCACACCCCTCCCAGAGCCAGGGAGAGACCCCTGCCCCAAGGTTCCATACCCATC